TTGACCTCTGCTTTATTCTGGATCACAGCTATTTCAACTACATCCAATTAACAAAGAGTATAAAGACTAATATCAGAAATGTTCAAGTATTAAAATAGATAAATAAAATAAAGATTAACTGGAGACATAACAAGACAAAAGTGACCTACGTGATATAAATATATCAACATAAAAAACACATTTTCTTTCATATGCAACTAAAATACCACACAAAGACATTGAGACTGAAAGTTATTGGTTGACGTTGGAAATACCCAGACAATCTCTGTACAACATCCATCCACTAACTGTTGTGGAGCTTTCAATCATATCACATGATCTTCTTCAGCTGATGGAGTCTCCCAGTTGTCACTGAATTGTAGTTGTTCAAATTCCCATTCCTCTGAGCATTTTCAGGACTTCTTGTCCATGTTGGCATCATAGTTCAAATATTCCATGACAACTGGGAGAACTCCATCTGCTGAGGAAGACTATGGGAATTGATCAAAAGCTCCAGAACAGAGACTGAATGGAGCTTGAGCAGAAATGTATTTGATAGTTAAACATGTTAAATGTTGTGACCTTTTTTATATTTTTTCAGAGACATAAAACCTACCATAATTTCTTTTTTTAACATAATATTTGGGGCTTTATGCCTTTTTCATTGATTAGACAGCTCAATATAGACAGAACAGGGAGAGAGAGAGAGACCACAGGTCAGACTCGAGTTGATGTTTTGTTTTGAACTATCTGAAGACTCAAAAATGCAGCAAGGAGAGAGAGAGAGAGAGAGAGAGAGAGAGAGAGAGAGAGAGAGAGAGAGAGAGAGAGAGAGAGCAGTTTGGTAGTCAGCCCATGCATGTTCAGCCTGTATATTTTAGATTTCTTTTCATTCCAGTTTTGCAGGTTTGACCAAGTCTTCAGCAGATGAGGTTAAATATCCTCAATCACATGTTTGAGAGAGATTTAGCTGTCTAGATTTAACTAGAAAGAGTTCCCAACATATGTCTGTTGTTTTTTCTATACATCAATATGAACATCCACATAAGTTGTTGTGCACATACACGTGGCCAGTTCAGCCCCACCCAAATTAAAATACATTCCCCCACACGTCTGAGTGTCTCCTTGAGCTCAGGAAGTTCTTTAAAAACTGACTGTGATGGAAAAGTATTTTTTTAATGTGTATGAACAATGTTGTTTCACGTCTTTCTCACAAACACACAAAAAAGTGTCCAATATGGGGAAACCTGATGAAACAGGTCGTGTGCACATTTTTTATCATGCTATGTTATTTTTATTTGTATTTATTTTTCCTCGATTGTATTTACTATCAACAATGATGAGAAAATCTTACTCTGACATTGGTTATAATCCTGCACATGTGAAAATATGTAATTAGACATCTGTTGTTAGTGTACAGGGATCCATGAAAGAAACATTTGATCCAAAGAAAGAAAATCAGTTTATTGACTTACAGCATTAACAGCATCGGAATTATTGGAACAATAAAAATGTCATGATCTAAAGTTTAATTCAGTTAAAATGTTGGAATGATAGAAAGTGCAGACTTAAAGCTGTAGCAAGGTAAAACAGAAGCAGAGTCCCAGTGAGTCCGGTCAGTACTGAGAACATGGTCTCTCATACATTTCCATAGAGAGCCACTTTGCATCAGCAGCACCATGCTCCAGTGCTCTGGGAGAGTTTATAGTCCTGAGAGTTGAACACTGGATGACTGACAGCTGTCCTTCATGACAACAGAAGACACAGAAATCCTCCTCATCAAAAACATGACTTTGATCTCCGTCCTCATCTGGACTCTCCTCTGCTGCTGCTTCACAGGTAAAGTCCAGAGAATCAAACTCCTCTCCTCTATGAACATCCGTCCCTCTGAAATGAAGCCCACAAAACCATGACGCTGCTTTATGTTTTTGTCTCTGTATCCTCAGAGTCCAGAGGCCAGGTCACAGTGACTCAGTCTGGAGCAGTGAGCTCTGCTCTGGGACGCTCCGTCACCATCACATGTAGGACCAGTCAGAATGTTTATACTAGTGGGGGCACCCACTATTTATCCTGGTACCAACAGAGAGATGGAGAAACTCCTAAACTGCTCATTTACTATGCTAGCAGTCGAGCATCAGGGATTCCAGGTCGTTTTACAGGCAGTGGATCAAACTCTGACTTCACTCTGACCATCAGTGGAGTCCAGACTGAAGATGCAGCAGTTTACTACTGTCAGAGTTTTCATTCTCTCAGTCAGAATGTGTTCACACAGTGAAAAAGCGTCGTACAAAAACCTCCCTCAGTCAGACTGAACAGAAACTGAACTGACTGCTGCAGCTGGAAGCTACTGCAGAGACTGATACACTTCACTGAGGACACACACACACACACACACACACACACACACCATGTACTATAATAAAAACAGTGACAAATAATAATGTCCATCACAACATATCAGCATCCATTAATACTGCATTATAATCCCATGTTGTTATCTGATTTCCAAATGAATAAAAGGGACCCAACTTGGGAGAGTGAATGGTAGACGTTCAGGCAGACAATTTACGCTTGAAATGTTTATTACAGCAGTACAGCATATTTAGATTTTAGCATCAAGGCTCCGACCTAATCATTCCCCACATATATGTTTACATAGAGTTATTGGGGAGTGATGGGTAGATACCTTAAACCCCCCCAAAACTGCACAGAATAGAGCGTTACGTTACTAGTAGGAGGATCTTCTATGTGTGGGCCTTGGCACCAGCCGCTGTGTGGCTATTCCCTATGAGAACCTCAAGCCATGAGGGAATATACTACTTAGCAAAACCTCTAGCAGGAACATTTCCCATATAGCAAATATATAAATACTCTAAACCCAGCAACCACCTGATATGCAAAGAAATAATTAGGCAGCAGATACAAATATTTATACTCGATCTTTTGAGGAACATGGTCGGCGGGTCTATACGATGCTAATGAGAAACGGTATGCCTCTATGGCGCTTTACCTTTACTTTTGGGAGATGCAATGTTTGAATTAGCAGTGTTTAAACCTGAGTCCTGGACACCAGCGGAACTGAGAGGTAAGTAAAGAGCTCTTCATGGCCAAGGCCTGAAGGAACTGAGATGTAGTGAGCATTTATGCGGGTGATGCGGCAGCTAAGGCGCGGAGCAGGGGTCTCTGAGTCATTTTTAGAGCGAACCTCAGCGGACTGAGCCTGGGTTTCAGGGATGAAGCCAATATCTTCCCCTGAGGACAGAGAACCACTCTCTGAGTCAGAGACGACGAGAGACATAGTGCCCAATAAAGCCGAAAGGTAGGATGTCCAGCTCTACATCTCCACCAAATCCATCACCTCTGCCACTCACTCCACTCTCTCCAACTGCCTCACTGACATTAAATCCTGGATGCACACCAACTTCCTTAAACTTAACTGGGACAAAACAGACATGATCATCATCGGTCCCAAATCCATCACTAAAACCATTCACAGTTTCTCCCTCACTGTCGAGACCTCCACTCTGTCTCCATCCCCTCACAGTCGCAACCTCGGAGTCATCTTTGACAATAACCTCTCCTTTGAACACCACATAAAACAAATCACCAGAACGGCCTTCTTTCACCTCAAAAACATCGCCCGACTCCGCCCATCATTCTCTTTCTCCGCTGCAGAAACCCTCATCCACGCCTTCATCACCTCCAGAATCGACTACTGCAACAGCATCCTGTACGGCACACCATCCAAAACCTTAAATAAACTCCAGTACATCCAGAACTCTGCTGCTCGTCTGCTCACCCACACCCGCACCCGTGACCACATCACCCCTGTGCTCCAGAACCTGCACTGGCTCCCGGTCCCACAACGAATTCAATTCAAAATCCTCCTCCTCACACACAAAGCCCTCCATAACCAGGCCCCTTCCTACCTTACTGACCTGCTCCACCGCCACAATCCATCCCGTAGCCTCCGCTCATCTGACGCAAACCTCCTGTCTCCACCACCCAGGACCAAGCACCAAACCTGGGGCGACAGAGCCTTCTCCGTTGCTGCCCCCTCCCTCTGGAACTCTCTCCCCAAACAAATCCGTGACTGCACCGACCCTACAGCGTTCAAATCATTGACAAAAATTCACCTTTTTAAAATTGATTTTAATGTTTAGCTTAGTCCGATGTGTTTTCAGTGTTTTTACTATTTGATGCTGTTTTCGCTGCTTTTATGATTTTATGTAAAGTGTCTTTGAGTATTCAGAAAAGCGCTTACAAATAAAATGCATTATTATTATTAAAGGGCCACAGGTCAGATTTGAACCCTGGGCCACTGCAGCAAGGACTTGGCCTCAGTACATGGGCCGCAAGCTCTACTGACTGAGCTAACCGGGTACCCTATTTATATTACATTTTAACAACAAACTGCTGATATTGATAATATGATGACATAATATGTTGATAATGTCCTACTTTATAATTAAAATGCAATCAAACTTTGTTACAAATAAATATATTCATGGTTACTGTAATGAAGAAGTTCATGTCCTCACAAATGCTTTAAGGAACCTGGAGAAAATGATTAATTTACTTTAATGATGTTGGGTTACAACAAGCGCTGATGAATGATTATCTGATTACTTTTATTTTTTGCTAAATATCAAGGAGAGATATTAAAAATCTATTAAATGGTGTATTTTTTCTGAAGACATTACCTGATATTTTTTTATACAGTGGAGTTCAACGTTTACAGTAACATACATGACAACAACTGATTTGATGAACTGGTCTTTATTGTGTTGAAATAATCAAAATAACGAATTGAATCAATGGCACACGTATTTAGAGAGTGGGTGAGGAAAAGAAAGAGAGAGAAAGATAAAGAGAGAGCGCAGACGGAGAGCAGTAGTAGATTAAAACCAGTATCAGAGTCCCAGTGAGTCAGGTCAGAACTGGGAACACTGGTCTCTCCTCAGTGTCTCTGAGAGCGGACTCTGGGAGCCCTGGGTGGCCTCACAGGTCACAGAGCCCACCTTCCCCCAGTGGTCTGCAGAGAGCCTCAGGGTGCTGCTCCAGCTGTAGTGGCCGTCCTTCAGCACCCCGGGGCTCCTGCTCTCCTCCCAGCTGCTGCTGCTGCTGCTGCCGTCCACCTTCCAGGACAGACTCCAGTCTGAGGGGAAGCCCTTGTTGGCCAGACACATGAGTGTGGCCTTCCCCTGCTGCAGCTCCTCACTGGAGGGGGCAGCACCGTCAGGGTGGGACGGACATCACCTAGGAGACACCAATCAGCTTAGAGGACAGGGACCACACAGCTGTCAATCAAGCAGCAGACACTTGGACACCTTTACTGTGTGAGAGTTGATTTTCTCCTTTAAGGAGTTTCTGTCAGATGGTTTTTCTGCTCCACCAGTCACTCACTCACACATTGTTTCACTTCCCTTTAAGAAGCCTCTCATGCATATCAGCACAGAGAGAATCATCATACAGAATGAGCTGAAATATATCAAACTACACTGGAAATAAAATATCAAAAACTGTATCATCAAAATCATCCAAAACCTGAACTATACATTACTTTAAAGTATTTAGTGGAAATATGAACAAACACATAAAATGAACTGACTACAATCAAATGTTCTTCATGTGGATTTCAATCATCATTGCCAAACCTTTCAACAGATTTTAAACTTGACAATCTATGACTTGAAGATTTTGAAGATTTTCAAATACCAAGCTTTATCTTCACTCTGTATAATTTTATTTTAATAACTTAATCTTAACTAATTCAAAAACAGCTATTAGTAATGTGGAAAAATAAAAGTGCATCTTTAAAGACATTTAAAAAATATTTTGCTGTTTTATCTTTTCTACACTTTGCGCTGTTTGAATTTCAGTTTAACAGGAACGTGTAAAGAAATGTTTAGAAAAGCTGCTCTGAGTTAGCCTCCATGACAAATGAGGAGAAATACATGAATAAATCCATATTGAAATTAAAACAAGATATATTTATCAGCCTCAAGCAACCAAAAACTGAATATAAAACGTGGGTTTACAATGTTATAATATTTAATATCAATGCAGAAACTTACTTCCAAATTCCAGTCTGGTTCCTCCACCGAACGTGTACCACAGTGATACAAACTCATTGAGCCGCCGTACAAAAACCTCTCACTGTAGAGAGACACGGCTCTCTGTCACACACACTTTGACACAAACAAACTCAGCAAACACATTCCCAGTTTACCCAGTTTATCTAATAACTGGTTAAAGTGTCTAAAACATAAACTATGAATATGTATTTAATTTTTTTTGTGAAATAATCTTTATTAATTAATTAATGTTAAATTAAAACAATAAAATAAGATATATCAAAAGAACACCTCTCCAATAAATAATGACAAATGTAAATAATGATCATAAACATATGTTTATTGTAGATAATGATGAAAATAAAAGAAATAAAAGATAATATATTTGTTTAAATGTGTCCCACAGTGATGTTGATCTGTGTGGTAGTGAATTAGGGGGAATTCACTAAATATTCTGGAAGAAAATGTGTCCATCAAACTGAAACCAAAGCCTCATACAAATGAGCACTGACACATTCCTAATCAATACTCTGATAAAGTGATTGATCCATTGATAAACAGCATCATGAGAGGAATCCAAGTCCCTGTTGGAGTCAGTCAGAGCATTTCCATAGAGAGCCACTTTGCATCAGCAGCACCATGCTCCAGTGCTCTGGGAGAGTTTATAGTCCTGAGAGTTGAACACTGGATGACTGACAGCTGTGCTTCATGACAACAGAAGACACAGAAATCCTCCTCATCAAAAACATGACTTTGATCTCTGTCCTCATCTGGACTCTCCTCTGCTGCTGCTTCACAGGTAAAGTCCAGAGAATCAAACTCCTCTCCTCTATGAACATCCGTCCCTCTGAAATGAAGCCCACAAAACCATGATGCTGCTTTATGTTTTTGTCTCTGTATCCTCAGAGTCCAGAGGCCAGTACACAGTGACTCAGTCTGGAGCAGTGAGCTCTGCTCTGGGACGCTCCGCCACCATCACATGTAGGACCAGTCAGAATATTTATTCAAGCTATTTTGCTTGGTACCAACAGAGAGATGGAGAAACTCCTAAACTGCTCATTTACTATACTAGCACTCGAGCATCAGGGATTCTAGGTCGTTTTACAGGCAGTGGATCAAACTCTGACTTCACTCTGACCATCAGTGGAGTCCAGACTGAAGATGCAGCAGTTTACTACTGTCAGAGTGTTCATTACATCAACAGTCAGTATGTGTTCACACAGTGAAAAAGCGTCGTACAAAAACCTCCCTCAGTCAGACTGAACAGAAACTGAACTGACTGCTGCAGCTGGAAGCTACTGCAGAGACTGATACACTTCACTGAGGACACACACACACACACACACACACACACACACACACACACACACAATAAACATTTATTAAAATTGACAAAAGAATAATCTCACAGTAAATCGAATTACATTCTCCATCACAGCTTCTTTCAAAATCCCATGTTCCCAGGGAGAATGAAGGAGAAAATTCTTGATTTTGACCTTTGACCTCTGCTTTATACTGGATTACAGATTCTTCAACTTCATCCTGTCATTAAATAATAAAAAGACACCAATCAGGAATCTTCATTACCAAAGATTGACCAAACAAACCCGTAGGCCTACATCCCCATTTCACTCAGTATTGATTGAATAGACTTTTTGTTGATTAAAGAAAATCTCATTATGACTGGAATCCTAACATTAGAATACCTCTATGATATAATTATATCTGCATACAGTATATTTCAATACAATTATCTTTAACTGCATAAAACATGCAAAAATACATTTTCTCTAACATGCAACACAAAAACACTGTATAAAGGTGAATTCTTTACCTTGAAAACAATTTTAAAAATATTTGTGGAACATCCATCCACTAACTGGAACTGTAAATCATATCACATGATCTTCTTCAGCGGATGGAGTCTCCCGGTTGTCATTCAATTGTAGTTGTTCGAATTCCCATTTCTGTGAGCATTTTTAGAACTTCTTGTACATGTTGGCTTCTATTCCATCACAACTGGGTGAACTCCATCTGCTGAGGAAGACCATGTAGTTAAATCACAAGCTCCAAAACAGCTACTGAGAAATGGTTTTGATTGTTACGCATAAACTAACTTTTCAGTCAACATCTACCAGAAATCCTTAAAGTGCAACATAAAGACCTTCAGAATACTCACATTACTGCTCACAGCTGTAACTACAAGATGTTTCAATATCCTCTACAGGTAAATATGTAAATATGTAGGACAATGCTCTCAGCACTGAGGGGGAAACACCATGATATGTTGAGGACAGCTACAGTTCACTGACTCTGTGTGTTTGCATATGTGTCCTTCCTCTCTGCTCCCAGCCGTTAAGAGGCCAGTGTTGATCAGTGGCTGTCCAGGCCTTTCAGAGCCACTGACACGCCGGCAGCACAATGATAATGTCACTGACTCTACTGCTGGCCACCCTGGGGCTCCTTGTTCAGGGTGAGACTCTCTTCTGAAAACTTTGCTTCAGGATGCAACCAGGTTCACCACAATGATGTTCTGCTATGATGGAGAAACACTGAAACAAGCAGCATTTACCTTCTTCCATCTATTCTCCATGTTAAAGAAATGATACTGTTCTGTTTGGATGTTGATCATCTTTCTCCAAACTGGATTTGTCTCAATAACCCTTCTCCTCTTTTTCATGTTTTCCAGATTCATCAGGAGAAATCATCCTGACTCAGTCTCCTAAAGCTCAGTCTGTTGTTCCAGGACAGACTGTCTCTATCAGATGTAAAGCCAGTCAACTTATAGGTGATGACATTAACTGGTACCTTCAGAAACCTGGAAAAGCTCCTAAACTCTTGATTGCTGATACTACAAACCGTCAGTCTGGAGTTTCAGATCGTTTCAGTGCAACAGCAGTTCAGACTGACTTCACTTTGACCATCAGAGGAGTTCAGACTGAAGATGCAGGAGATTATTACTGTCAGCAGCACAACAGCTTTCCGTTCACACAGTGAAAAAGCGTCGTACAAAAACCTCCCTCAGCTGAGAGGAACTGATCTGAATCAACAGCTGCATGGAAACTAAATGGCAACAACTTAAACACACCTCATAATTACATGGAATTCTAATAATACAGCATTTAATATAATCAATCACATTTCACACATTCCTTCTTTTTTTTTTGGCAAAGATAAATGATTCACCTTTGAGTTTGAGTCAACTGATGTCAAGTCTCTCATCAGACAGGTTTATACAGATATGTTAGTTACTGTAAGTATATCTAGAGTTAATAATATTATAAAATCAATATTTTCCCACAATGCATTGTACATCTACAGTAGCTGAACACAGTTTACAGAGTAACAAACTCTCTTTATATATATATTAAAAGTCAGTTCTAATGGTCGTTTTCATGTTTATCAGATCAATTTACAAAATGAGAACGGATAATACAGATGAAATATTGACACTAAAAATGCATATATTTATTAAAATAATTAAATGTTTTTCACAACCCTTAAAATATTACATTTAAAGTAATTCTTCAATAATACTAATCAACTGAAGTGTTTAGTTAAATAAGAATCCACCTCAAAAATAGAATTTAAGTCATACATGAAAAGTATTGTGATTATATTTATATATAAATATATATATATATTATAACGTCTGTTAATTTTACAATAACAGCAGTAACAGAAAAACATCTATTGTCAGGTTGTACTGAAAGAGCTGTGACATGTATGACACATTCCCATCATTTGTTCATGACACCATGAGCTAAAATGGTAAAATCCTAAAAATCTTTCTCTGAGACAAACTTTGTCATTGTAGATTTAATGAATTTCAGACTGACAAATGAAAGCAGTACATGGCCTGACTTATTTAATTAATTGTTTTTTATTGATTGTAAATGTTATTAACTCATTCCTGAAGTCCTGTGGTGAATCAGTAATTTGAAGTTTTAATATTCTTGGAGGAAAATCTCAGATCAAAGATATTGTATATCACTTGATGCAGATGATGCGCTGCTCTGTGTATCAAACTATGAAAATCTCTATCTGAACTTTTTTTGAAAATTTTGGTAAAGATTTTTGACAATTTCAAGGGACAGATCTAACCCTTGTTACATAATGAATCATCCTCATATTCAGACTTGACTGATAAAAGATAGGTGATCTTGTAAATGGTCAAAACATGGGTATAATTAACAAGGTATATGAAAGCATATACAACTGACAATTATAGAGGAACTTCTCTAATGTTTCTAAATATGTATAAACATGCTGAATGAATAATACTCTCATGAAAACTGTTGATTTTATTAAATCTTTATTATTTTTAAATCTTGAAACCATTGAGAAAGAGAGAGAGAGAGAGAGAGAGAGAGAGAGAGAGAGAGAGAGAAGAGTAGTAGATTAAAACCAGTATCAGAGTCCCAGTGAGTCAGGTCAGAACTGGGAACACTGGTCTCTCCTCAGTGTCTCTGAGAGCGGACTCTGGGAGCCCTGGGTGGCCTCACAGGTCACAGAGCCCACCTTCCTCCAGTGGTCTGCAGAGAGCCTCAGGGTGCTGCTCCAGCTGTAGTGGCCGTCCTTCAGCACCCCGGGGCTCCTGCTCTCCTCCCAGCTGATGCTGCTGCTGCTGCCGTCCACCTTCCAGGACAGACTCCAGTCTGAGGGGAAGCCCTTGTTGGCCAGACACATGAGCGTGGCCTTCCCCTGCTGCAGCTCCTCACTGGAGGGGGGCAGCACCGTCAGGGTGGGGACGACTCGACCCACTGCAGAGAGAGAGATTAATACAGTTTATATGAGGTAAACTGAACTCCATCCTGTTGGTTGCAGCAGAGGAGGCTTCTAGTTCTGATGGTCTTCTTCAGACTGAATGAAACTGGTCTTAAAGGTTTCACTTCCCTCTCTGAGCTCAGTAACCGTGGCAACAGGCAAGCATCACTGCTGAACCATGACAACAGGCAGGTTTCAGTACTAAAGATAAAAAACTGGCTCACTTTTAGTCCAGTGTATAGTTTTTAAATAATAAAGTAAAAAGTCAAAGATTCCTTGTTAAACATGAGATGAAGATTGTGCCACTGTTATTGTTTTAACCATCTCAAATATTTCTTGTGTCAAGCTAAAACCTGATGATTTGTTCTCTTCATGTAAGCAGGAATCATCATTGAAAAGTCAGAAACATTCAAATTAATTTAGTTAACTACTGAACTACTTCAAACTCATCACATTCTCATAATAAAATATGTGGAATGGCTTTAATATTGTTACTTTGGGAGTAAGATTGAGTATTACCCATACACATTAAACACTGAACAAAAACTATTGGCAGAGATTTTCGTAAACAGTAAAACTTAAACTTAAAGACTTTCTCTTCTTACAGAGTAATGCTGAGTCGTTTTCTTCAATTAACTGATAAGAATGTAGAAAACTAAAGCTTTAATGCAAAACATTATCAATTGGAGTGGATTGTAGTCTGGTTAATGACACTCTAAAGCCTTCAAGAATTGTTAGAAACACATTCGATTTCAAATATTAGGCAAAATATTCCAAGAAGGTCAACAGCTATGAGATTTAAACAGAATACATAAAGATTATTTGTTGTTAAAGGAGTTAAATGTACTTACAGTTAACTTCCAGTCTGGTTCCTCCACCAAACGTGTACCACAGTGATACAAACTCATTGAGACGCCGTACAAAAACCTTTCACTGTAGAGAGACACGGCTCTCTGACTTTGACACAAACAAACTCAGCAAACACATTCCCAGTTTACCCAGTTTATCTAATAACTGGTTAAAGTGTCTAAAACATAAACTATGAATATGTTTTTAATCTTTTTTGTGAAATAAGCTGTATTAATTCATGTGACATTAAAACAATGAAATAAGATTTTTCAAAAGAACAACTCTCCAATAAATAATGACAAATATAAATAAAGATCATAAAGATATGTTTATTGTAGATTATGACAAACGAGAAATAATAATTTTGTTTAAATGTGTCCCACAGTGATGTTGATCTGTGTGGTAGTGAATTAGGGGGAATTCACTAAATATTCTGGAAGAAAATGTGTCCATCAAACTGAAAGCAAAGCCTCATACAAATGAGCACTGACACATTCCTAATCAATACTCTGATAAAGTGATTGATCCGTTGATAAACAGCATCATGAGAGGAATCCAAGTCCCTGTTGGAGTCAGTCAGAGCATTTCCATAGAGAGCCACTTTGCATCAGCAGCACCATGCTCCAGTGCTCTGGGAGAGTTTATAGTCCTGAGAGTTGAACACTGGATGACTGACAGCTGTCCTTCATGACAACAGAAGACACAGAAATCCTCCTCATCAAAAACATGACTTTGATCTCTGTCCTCATCTGGACTCTCCTCTGCTGCTGCTTCACAGGTAAAGTCCAGAGAATCAAACTCCTCTCCTCTATGAACATCCGTCCCTCTGAAATGAAGCCCACAAAACCATGACGCTGCTTTATGTTTTTGTCTCTGTATCCTCAGAGTCCAGAGGCCAGGTCACAGTGACTCAGTCTGGAGCAGTGAGCTCTGCTCTGGGACGGTCCGTCACCATCACATGTAGGACCAGTCAGAACGTTAATAATAATGACTTTTTAGCCTGGTACCAACAGAAAGATGGAGAAGCTCCTAAACTGCTTATCTATAGAGCAACTTCTCGACAATCAGGGACTCCAGGTCGTTTTACAGGCAGTGGATCAAACTCTGACTTCACTCTGACCATCAGTGGAGTCCAGACTGAAGATGCAGCAGTTTACTACTGTCAGAGTCGGCATGACATCAACAGTCAGGCTGTGTTCACACAGTGAAAAAGCATCGTACAAAAACCTCCCTCAGTCAGACTGAACAGAAACTGAACTGACTGCTGCAGCTGGAAGCTACTGCAGAGACTGATACACTTCACTTCACTAGAGACTAGGACACACACACACACACACACACACACACACACACACACACACACATATACATACACACACACACACACCAGAAGATTAACTGGAGACATAACAAGACAAAAGTGACCTACGTGATATAAATATATCAACATAAAAAAACAAATTTTCTTTTATATGCAAGTAAAATACCACACAAAGACGCTGAGACTGAAAATGAATTGTTGACGTTGGAAATACCCAGACAATCTCTGTACAACATCCATCCACTAACTGTTGTGGAGCTTTCAATCATATCACTTCAATTCAATTCAATTTTATTTGTATAGCGCCAATTCATAACAGAAGTTATCTCAGGACACTTTTCAAACAGAGCAGGTCTAGACCGAACTCTTTAAAACATTTACAGAGACCGAACAGTACCACCATGAGCAAGCACTTGGCGACGGGGGCAAGGAAAAACTGCCTTTTAAGAAGCAGAAACCTAGGACAGACCTTCTGGCTCTATGTTGGTGGATCACATGATCTTCTTCAGCTGATGGAGTCTCCCAGTTGTCACTGAATTGTAGTTGTTCAAATTCCCATTCCTCTGAGCATTTTCAGGACTTCTTGTCCATGTTGGCATCAAAGTTCAAATATTCCATGACAACTGGGTGAACTCCATCTGCTGAGGAAGACCATGGGATTTGATCAAAAGCTCCAGAACAGCGACTGAATGGAGCTTGAGCAGAAATTGATTTAACTGTTAAACATGTTAAATGTTGTGACCTTTTTATATTTTTTCAGATACATAAAACCTACCATAATTTCTCTTTTTATTATAATTTCTGGGGCTTTATGCCTTTTTCATTGATTAGACAGCTCAATATAGACAGAACAGGGGGAGAGAGAGAGACCACAGGTCAGACTCGAGTTGATGTATTGTTTTGAACTATCTGAAGACTCAAAAATGCAGCAAGGAGAGAGAGAGAGAGAGAGAGAGAGAGAGAGAGAGAGAGAGAGAGAGAGAGAGAGAGAGCAGTTTGGTAGTCAGCCCATGCATGTTCAGCCTGTATATTTTAGATTTCTTTTCATTCCAGTTTTGCAGGTTTGACCAAGTCTTCAGCAGATGAGGTTAAATATCCTCAATCACATGTTTGAGAGAGATTTAGCTGTCTAGATTTAACTAGAAAGAGTTTCCAACATAAGTCAGTTGTTTTTTCTAGACATTAATATGAACATCCA